TGGAAAGATAGACTAAAAATTAATTGGAAACTAAATAATCTAATCCTAAAGAATGAGTGGATAAAATAACAAATCACACTAACAATCAATAACTTCACCCATGAGAATGACAATAATGAGAAAACATGACAAAATTTATGGGATGTAGTGAAAGCAATTCTTAGGAGAAGCTTTATATCTCTAAATGCTGACATGAATAAAATAAAGAAAAAAGAGATCAATGAGTTGGGCATGCAACTGAAAAAGCTAGAAAAAGAACAAATTAAAAATCTCCAATTAAATATCAAATTAGAAATTCTGAAAACCAAAGGAGAGATTAATAAAATTGAAATTAAGAAAGCTACTGAACTAATAAACAGAACAAAGAGCTGGTTTTATGAAAAAGAAAACAACAATAAAATAGATAAACTTTTGGTTAATTTGGTTAATTTAAAAAAAAAAAGAAGAAAATAAAATTACCAGCATCAAAAATGAAAAAGGTGAATTCACCACCAATGAAGAAGAAATAAAAACAATAATTAGGAGCTATTTTGCCCAACTGTATGCCAATAAATTTGACAATCTTAGTGAAATGGGTGAATATTTACAAAAATATAAATTGCCCAGATTAACAGAAGAGGAAATAGAATAATTAAAGAAAAAGATGTTGAACAAGCCATCAATGAACTCCTCAAGAAAAAATCTTCAGAGCCAGATGGATTTACAAGTGAATTCTATCAAACATTTAAAGAACTAATTTCCAATACTATATAAACTATCTGGGAAAATTGGTAAAGAAACAGTCTTACCAAATTCTTTTTATGATACAAATATGGTGCCGATACCTAAATTGGGAAGGGCCAAAACAGAGAAAGAAAATCATAGACCCATTTCCCTAATAAATATAGATGCAAAAATTTTAAATAAAATATTAGCAAAGAGATTACAGCAATTTATCTCAAGGATAATACACTATGACCAGGTAGGATTTAAACCAGGAATGCAGGGCTGGTTCAATATTAGGAAAACTATCAGCATAATTGACCGTATCAATAACAAAACTAACAGAAATCATATGACTATCTCAACAGATGCAGAAAAAGCATTTGACAATATACAACACCTATTCCTATTAAAAACACTGGCAAGCACAGGAATAAATGGAGTCTTTCTTAAAATCATAGGTAGGATCTATCTAAAACATCAGCAAACATTGTATGTAATGGGGATAAGCTAGAAGCATTTTCAATAAGACTGGCAATGAAACAAGGATGTGCATTATCATTACACTGAAGGAATTAGAACAGGCAAAGAAGAAACAAAGCTATCACTCTTTGCAGATGAAACAATGGCATACTTAGAGAATCAAGTAAAAAATTACTTGAAAAAATAAGTTTAGCAAACTTGTAGGATATAAAATAAACCCACATAAATCATCAGTATTTCTATATATTACAAATAAAGCCCAACAGCAAGAAACAGAAAGAGAAATTCCATTTAAAGTTACTGCAGACAGAAAATATTTGGGAGTCTACCTTCCAAAACAAACTCAGGAACTATACGAACACAATTACAAAACACTTTTCACACAAATAAAGTCAGATCTAAATAATTGGAAAAATATCAGATGCTCATGGGTAGACCGAACTAATATAATAAAAATGACAATTCTACCTAAATTTATTTATTCAGTGCCATATCAATCAAATTACCAAAAAATTATTTTGTAGAGCTAGAAATAATAATAACAAAATTCATCTGGAAGAACAAACAGTCCAGAATATGAAGGGAACTAATGAAAAGAAACGCAAGGGAAAGCTGCCTAGCTGTACCAGATCTTAAATTGTATTATAAAGCAGCAATCATCAAAACTACTTGGGATTGGCTAAGAAATAGACTGGTGGATCAGTGTAAAAGGTTAGGCATGCAAGACACAATAGTCAATGACTATAGTAATCTACTATTTAATAAATCCAAAGACTCCAGCTTCTGAGATAAGAACTCACTATTTAACAAAACCTGCTGGGAAAACTAGAAAACAGTATGGCAGAAACTAGGCACAGACCAACATCTTACACCCTATACCAAGATAAAGTCAAAATGGGCACATGATTTTGATATAAAGGCTGATACTATAAGCAAACCAGGAGAGCAAGGAATAGTTTACCTTTCAGATCTATAGAGAAGGAAAGAATTTATGACCAAACAAGAGATAGAGAACATTATGAAATGCAAAATGGATGACTTTAATTATATTAAATTGAAAAGTTTTTGCACAAATAAAGCCAAAGCAACCAAGATTAGAAGGGAAGAAGAAAGCTGGAAAACAATTTTTACAGTCAGGTGAATTTATAGGAATACAATTCATTCCCAGAATGATAAATGTTCAAAGGCTATGAAGAGGCAATTTTCACAGGAAGAAATTAAAGCTATCTACAGTCATACGAAAAATGCTGTAAATCACTATTGATTAGACAAATGCAAGTTAAAATGACCCTGAGGTACCACAACATACCTATCAGACTGGCTAACATGACAAAATAGGAAAATAATAAATGTTGGAAAAGATGTGGGAAAAATGAACACTAATGCATTGTTGGTGGAATTGTAAACTGATCCAACCATTCTGGAGAGCAATTTGGAACTATGCCCAAAGAGCTATAAAACTGTGCATACCCTCTGATCCAGCAATACCACTTCTAAGTCCATATTCCAAAGAGATCATAAAAATGGGAAAAAGACCCACACGTACAAAAATATTTATGGCAGCTCTTTTTGTGGTGGCAAGGAATTGGAAATTGAGGGGATGGCCATCAATAGCGGAATGGCTGAACAAGTTGTGGTATATGAATGTAATGGAATACTATTGTCCTATAAGAAATGATGAGCAGGTGGACTTCAGAAAAATCTGAAAGACTTCTACAAACTGATGCTGAATGAAATGAGCAGAACCAGGAGAACGTTGTACACAGTAACAGCCACATTGTGTAATGACTGATTCCGATAAACTTATCTCTTCTCAGCAAGGCAAGAATCTAAGGCAACTCCAAATGACTTATGATGGAAAATGTTATTTATTTACATCCAGAGAAAGAACTATGGAGTCTGAATGCAGATGGAAGCAAACTATTTGTTCTCCTTTTCTTATGTTGTTTTGTTTCTTCTTTCTCATGGTTCCTCACATTAGTTCTAATTCTTCTTTACATCATGACTAATGTGAAAATATGCTTAATCTGAATGTACAAATAGAGCCTATATCAGATTGCATGCTGCCTTGGGGAGGGGGCAGGAGAGGAAGAGAGAGAAAATTTAAAACCCAAAATCTTATGGAAGTGAATGCTGAAAACTAAAAATAAATAAATTATAAAAAAGAAATAAAAGTCTTTCATTTCTTAGAATAACTAACAGTTGTATTGTACTTATTATCTATAATCTACTAAAATCCAGCAAGGAATTCTAGAAGATATATATCTTACAAAAAGAATGAGAGTGTTTATGTGTCTATGAGTTTTTATAAAAGGAAGGTAGAGGCTAGGAGGAAAAAATAAAGAAAGAAGAAACAGGTTAACAGGGAGAGGTGGGATACCCATAGTATAAAGCTTTGCAATGAGAGGAGGCTAAGTGCTCTCTAGGAGTAGAAGTCAAAGTTTATATTCATTTGATTGCCACTGGATGCTATGGATTCTCCCCTTATTAATAGCTATAGATTAAATCCATACTTTCATATATCTCATGCCAAAAGCAAATAATGAAAGTACTTTCCAGGATGATGTTATCAGCTGTAATAAGAAATGATAATTAAGGAACAGTGGTTTGATGTCCTTAACTATCTTTTTTAAATAAATTTTAACTTAGATAACAAATTGTTTCCATTTCCTTGTTCTAGTGACCATCACTGATGACAGAAATCCAAAACGGCATTTTAGAAGTAAAACCTGTAAGACCTACTGAAAAAGCAATACACATTTATGTCTTCTGCTGCATTCTCCAATTAAGTTAGGTAGGATACATACATGCACTGTAGAAATAAAAGCTTAAAGCCTGATTTGCTATTCTAAATTCTAAGGCAGTCCTGACCATAGCCAAAGACAAAGGTATAATTTTAATAATTCATAACAATGACTACAGTAATGATAGCTAGCATTTGCTTAAGGTTTTACAGCTTATAAAATACATATCTCATGTGGTATTATAAAAACTTGTGAGGTACTTAAGGATAAATAATATTTGCCCTATTTCATAAATTAAAAAACCAAGGTTCAGCTTGCCTAAGACTACCAAGAACTAATAAGTGAGAAAAGCGGGTCTTAAGCTGATCTTCTGACTCCAAGTTCAGTGGTGATGTATAATGCTTCCTCCAAATAAAACACTGGATGGCTAGCAAACCATCTAAATAATCACTTTTTGACAAGGGGTGAGAAGCTATGTTCTAGAGAAGGAAAACCAAGGAACAGGGAAGGGTAGGGCAGTGACTGGACCTGTGATTTCATTAGTATAAGGAACTTCCAAGTGAGGAAACTGCTTTTACCAATGCAAGTCAGTAAATCCTCTGCAATTTATAACTTTACAGAGTTGTCTAGAACACTGAAAAATCAAATTATCTGTACAAGTCATAGATAGTATGTGTCAGAAATATTCATGGCTTTAAGGCCAACTTTATCCACTATACCTTATTTTTTTTTAGCAATAATCTTACTCCTTCCCCTAATTTTTCTCTCTTCTACCTATAAAAGTCACCTTTTAAAATGCCTCAGACATATGCTATTATTTCTTAAGACCAGTAAATCATTATAGGATTTTGTTATGCATTTTTTCAGGTTAAAATGTCATACCCTAAGTCCTAAAGAGTTACAGCATTCAAGACAGACCCACCAAGAAGACAGGAATGATAAAGGGTCAACATATTTCTTCTAATTCAAAATTGTAAAGTCAGTTTACACAATGATACCAAAAACTTACAGTGTTCTCTGAGAATAAAAAAGTGTTGTTTTCATAGAAAGGTTGAAACTGCTAACACTCACCTAGAATGAGATGCAGCTTGGTCTCTGTCTGAAAAGCATAATGCAGTGTAACCAGAAAGGGCGAGAGCCTGATGTGTTCCAGCACCTGCCTCTCCGTCTTTGTGTGCTCTGCTGTCTTGGCTTTCTGAACAATGGTGGCTTTTTTCAGAACTTTCATAGCATACAGCTTTCCAGCATCGTGACCACTTATTTTACGAACCAGGAATACTTTTCCATAGGCTAAAACCAAGGAGACGTAAAAAGGAAATAAAAATTCAGTACATGAATAACAGTCAATTGCTGGGAAAATCCAATCATCATCACGTACATATGCTTTATAAGTGTACAGGAAAATTAATTTCAATACTCTTTGGAACAAAGTTCTTCAATAACTTCCTTCAACTTGACAATAGATCTTTTCTAACTAGAACTTTCAATGTTTAAACATTTAATCACAGCTGACAGGGAGAATTACGCTTATACTCTTCTGTTTTGTTATTCTCACCTTCATTATTTTTAGCTGGAGGAAAATAGCCACCGTTATTATGGTGAACTAATTACAACTCATTCCTGGAACTCGGACATTTCAGACTGACATAAAATCTCAAGGCATCTATCCACTATCATCAATAAACAACAGATAGGTGAAATATATGGCCTTCTGAAGTTTATACACAACGAAAATTTTGTCTAATACTACTGATATCTGATTTAAAATATGAGGAATAGCCTGAAAGTCAGTAAACCACTCAGTTCAGGATCTTATATACATCAACAACCTTTGTCTTCCTTTTTTTTTTAAATTCTTTTTTTATTTTTTTTTGTAGGTAATTGGGTTAAGTGCCTTGCCCAAGGTCATACAACTGGTAAGTGTCACGTGTCTGAGGCCAGATTTCAACTCGGGTCCTCCTGACTCTAGGGTCAGTGCTCTATCCACTGCGCCACCTAGCTGCCCCTCGTCCTCCTTTTTTTAATGAGGAAAAAGAGAGCAGAAGAGGAAAAGGAACGGGAAATACATATTCCATTCCACTTTATTTTTCCTCCCTTTTTATCATCAGTAGTGGTATAATATTTATGGAATTTCTGTATTTCAGCACATACTAAACTATTTCTTTCATGAATGCTAAGGATCTGTTGCAGTTTATCAAAAGAAATATCAATAATATAATGAGAACATTCTGGGAAATAAAAAAAAGCTAATGAAAAGCTGATTTTATTTGGTTGAAATATTATTATGTGCTTTGTAAATAAGGCAAATTGTAAGCTGAAGCATTCTGAAGTTAAAAGTGAGCTAGAAAAATGAAAACTATAAAAACTGATATCTCAATCCCAACTGCAGAGAAAAAAAATATTTAGAAACGTTATCCAAAAGTGTCATAAGGAAACTAAAAATATATCACAATGTAATAGAATATCAATATCCAGAAGGGTAACAGAATTGTAATAGTAAATATGAAATATATAATAATTGTTTATGACAGTCTTATTTTTGTACCCATCACTAATATTAAATTTTGTAGGATACATTTAACTTCTCCACCACATAGACTCTGAGATACTATTATATAAGCCCCATAGTTATTATGACCCGCTGCTGGTATAGCAACTTTGTTTCTTTAAAGTTTCTTTTATTTACCTGAGATCTAATGGGCATGCATACAAAGAATATGAAGTAAAAGAAAGTAAAGACTTGAAGAACCACTGTACACACAGTGACTGAAACTGATAGATGAAGAAAACACAGCCAAAGATAGTACAACTTCAGACTTATAATGGGACAAAGAGCAAATTATTTTTGTTCACTGTTAATTTTGTTTTCCTATAAAATACTAATAGTATTATGAAAAATCTTATTGTTTATGTGTTTATTTGTCTTTGTTGATATAAATTAAATTTATGACTTTTTTCAATTTGGGGGAAAAAAAGTAATAAATGCATGTCACTAGCAGTTCCTTCCCCAATTATTTGGACAGAATTAAGCAGAGAGGCAGATAAAAAGGAACATTAAAATTTAAAGTAGCAATTTCTTTTTTTCTGTTCAAAATTTAAACTCAAACTGCATTTCCTATCACAACTAAAATTAAGTAGATCAGGGTTTTGTTGCCATGATGGTGTTAAAACTAAAAGCAACATAAAAGGAGAAAACCTTTTGTAGATTAGAATATCTATAGAGGACTATGTTCAATGATCTGTCACCTCTATGAACACAGACAGTTCTATGAGCTACAAGTCGGTACAAGAGGAAATGAAAAGAATAAAGAACTTGGGATATTTCCTTGGGCATAAGAGAAAATTGAGGGTGATATCTATCTTCAAGTGTATGAAGGGTTTTCACGTGGAAGAGACTTGATCAAGGTGGCCTAAAACAGAACTAGGAACAATGAAGGGAAGTTGTAAAGGAAGAAATAACAATTGTATCTATGTAAAAGTGGAACAGAATGCACAAAAGATAGTGGGTTCTGCAGCACTGGAGATACTCAAGCAACAAAAATTGTTTGACCACTTGTCTGGAATGTGATAGATGAGATTCCTTTTTAGGCACTTATTAGACTGAATGACCTCTGACTCCTCCAACTCAGATTCTAGGATCTGTCTTTCCAATCACACCTTCCATCTAATTTTCAACTGTGATGCCCCCTGCAGTCAGTTTAGTAACTATAAGAAGAAGCCTCAACATAGTAACATATGAAAGACCAACTTAGAAGAGATTAAAGTTTTGACTCCTTCAGAACTCCATTTTATTTTTGTTACTCTACACATGTGCGCTAAGAAAAATATCTTCTATTAATGTGAATGGGAACTAAGAGAGTGGGATCCATTTCACAACTGAAAATTTACCAATTACATCCTAAGTTTCCTGAGAAGGCAATAAAACTTGTCATATAGTTTTAACTTACAGACATAACTTACAACAGGAGAAACAAAATGAAAACAACTATATACAAACAAGATATATACAGAATAAACTGGAGATAATCTAAGAGGGAAGATACTAGCATTAAGGAAGACTGAGAAAGGTTTCTTGCACAAAGTAAGATTGAAGGAAGCCAAAAGATGTAGAAAATACCAGGCAGTGTCAGCCGGTTAAAATGTGGAGTCGGGAGATGGAATGTTTTTTTGTAAGGGAAAAAAGCAGCACAGTGTCATCAGATCATAGACTACCCTATTATAGAAGGGAAGACGGGGAGGAGGAACTCACTATTTTTCATAATTAGTATGTGTGAGAATATAAAATATGGACGAAGTGGTGGGATAGTAAACACCAAATGAATCTCACTCTTATCTGAAATGAGCAAAGAAGTAAACATACACACTAACAGACTGTTGCAGATGTACATTAAACTCAATAAAGAAACAAAAGGGGAGAAAGAGGGAAGATAATGCTGAGGAGGGAAGAGTTGCAAGCAAAACAAACTTCTTGATCCTGAAGGAAAGATTAGAAAGGGAAAGAAAAGAGAAAAGGAAAGGAAAGAAAGGAAAGGAAAGGAGAGAAAAAGAAAAGAAAAAAAGAAACCACAGTCTGAGGAAGTGCCTTTGATTGCTTCTTAGGCATGTGGGGAGTGGCTAACCAAACTGTGATATATAAATGTAAGGGAATACTAACATGCTATATGAAATGAAGGAGATAGCTTCAGATACTCCTGGAATCCTGGATAATAGGAATTGATGCAGAGTAAGGTAAACAGATCTTAGGGGAAAAAAGTATACAAGATTAGCAACACTATAATGAAAACAACCATGAAAGACTTAAGAACTCTGATCAAAGACATGACTAACCATGCTCTACAGAACCTATGATGAAGAATGTTACCCCCTTTCTGACAGAAATGAAGAAAAGGGCAGAAAGAGATAACTTTTTTTTGACATGGCCACTATATGATTTCTTTTGGCTTGAGAATGTTTGTTACAAGGTTCTTCATTCCTTTCCTTCTCTTCTTTAAATGGGGGCAAGAGGAGAGAGTACTGCAGGGAGGGTGTCATCAGTATATGCATTAAAGATACCAGAAAAAAATGAAGAGGAAATTAAAAATGTGTATATATTTCTCAACTGTCCATGTTGCCTTTACAATAATGCAGGAAAGCAAAAGCATTAAACAAGTTTTTGCTTATCACAATTCAATAAAAATTATGCAATAAAGGGCCACTGAAGAAAAGATTAAAAATTAGAGACTAAATAACTTACTTTTAAAGAACTGTGGGTCAAAGAACAAATCACAGAGATGATACTGTCATTAAAGAAAAAAAAATAAATCAATATATCAATATTTTGGGAATTCAGTCAAAGTAGTCCTTAGGGGAAATTTTACATCTCTAAACATGTTCATCAACAACAACAAAAAAAGAAAGAACAAATGAACTGGACATGAAATTAAGAAAAAAAAAGTCATAAAAAATAAAAATATAAAAACTAATACATTTTTCAAAAGCCAATTAAATACCAAAGAGGACATTTTGAAAATCAAAAGAAAAGAAATTAAAAAAAAAACAAATATAATGAAAAAAGGTAAATTCATAACAAATAAATAAAGAAAATTATTTAAAATTATTTTTCTCAATTATATGCCAATATAACTGATAATCTAAACTGAATGAATATTTGTAAAAATTAAAAATGACAAGATTAACAAAAAGAAGTAGAAAACTTAAATCACTCCCATCTGAGAGAAAGAAACTGGATAAACCATAAATGAGCCCCTAAACAGAAAAAAAAAACACACACCTGGGACCAAATAGATTTACATGTGAATTTTAACAAATATTTTAAAAAATAATTCCAGTATTACAAAAATTATTTGAAAAAACTAAAAAGAAAGAATGCTACCAAATTCCTTCTATGATACAAGTATGGTTTTGATACTTAAAAGAACAGAGAGAATCAAAACAAAGAAAGAAAACTACACACCAATAAACCTAATGAACAATGATGAAAAAATTTTAAATAAAATATTATTAAGGATAGTACAGTAACATATCACAAAGACAATAATCACCAAATTGGATTTATACCAGGAATGCAAGTTTGATTAAACACTAGGAAAACTATCTATAAAACTGACTAAAGTAATAACAAAAACAATAAAAAGTCACACTATAATAACAGATGCACAAAAAGCTTCTGACAAAATAGAATACACACTCTTGTTAAAAAAAATACCTAGAAAACATAGGATTTTTCCTTAATACATATAGTAAGTATCTAACTAAACCAAGAGCCATCATTTTAAGTAATGGGGATAAAC